TGACAGAAGGAGGGAAGGAAAATATGGAGCTTGCAGCCTCATGTGGAGGAAGGATGGAGTATTTTCAGTGACATGAAGTCATTTTTGTTTATGCTGTAGACAATGACATATAAACCGAGACTGCTGGTTGCATATTTAAATGTAAATGAACAAAATATTGAATATCTATTTGACAGGATCACTCAGGCTTATCTGCAGCGGAAGCAATCTCCTTTCAGCATATTAGAGCTGATGGATACTAAGAGATAAAAATAGCCCTTTTACATGCAATCATTTTATCTTTAATTATGTATTTTATTAATGATACTTTTTATATGTTAATGTGGTCATATTAACACTACATACATAGTGCAGGTTTATTTAAAGCTGTGCTGCTTTTAATTTGCCTCTTTTCTTGCAAAACATAAAGGCCAAAGTGGCTATTTGAATATCTTTGATGTTCCTTTTCAGCGTGCGTCTTCCTCACGCAGATTCACAATCATCTCTCTGCCTGTCAGCAGGAGCGATAGCACTCTCTTCATTACGCGCTTCATTAATCTCGATGCTAATTGATTCTGCGAAGGCCTTTCAGACCGAGGGCCAAGTCATGCCTTCCCCATGGTTGTGTGTGTGCGTGTGTGTATGAATGTGCACCTGCTGGTTCCTGGAGAGACAGATCCTGACAGAAAAACCTCTCCTGGCTGTCTGTCTGCTCTCAAGTGTGGCACTGATATGCTTTCAGGGCTACAGGCCTGCCTGGGAGACAAGTGCAACAACAAAAACAGCCACAAACAGACCCAGAGGAGAATTCAAGGGAAATAAAAGCACAAAACATGTGGATGAAAGGCAGTTGGCATGTTGTATGTTTAAACTGGGTGAATAAAATGAAGGATGCTGGAGCAGTTAAATGATCCGTGTTCTGTTGCTAAGAGACACAGAGGCTGGATGGTGGAGATAAACGGTGGGATCCACCCCTGGCAGCAAGCAGAATGTGGGTAAGAGTCGGGGGGGAGGCAGGGTAAGAAAGGGAGAGGAGATCTGTAGGAGGGGTGGGGGTGAGTTGTGTGGCCCCACCCCCCAACACACACACACACACACACACACACACACACACACACACACACACACACACACACACACACACACACACACACACACACACACACACACACACACACACTCCATCCTCCCAACCTTTGCCTCTTTTCTTTTTTCAGTGATTTTCTAAAGTTCTAATCACCCAGACTGTCCAATGATCACTTAAAGACATGAGTTAAGTAATTTAGGTCCTTAAAAATGTAGAATAATAAAGAGTATTTTGGATGTAAATTTTTTTTGGTTTCTAAATACACTTTTATCTCCTTGTCACATTATTCTTTCATCAAGCTAGCTCATTTAATTGTGTTACAACATCTGCCTTAAGTTGCTATTTTCAAGAACAGCTTTCATATCTACAGGTGCTGGTCATAAAATTAGAATATCATGAAAAAGTAGATTGATTTCAGTAATTCCATTTAAAAAGTGAAACTTGTATATTATATTCATACATTACATACAAACTCATATATTTCAGATGTTTATTTTGTTTAATTTTGATGATTACAAATGACAACAAATGAAAATCTCAAATTCATCATATCAGAAAATTAGAATATTACTGAAGACCAATAAAAACAAAGGATTTATAGAAATGTTGGCCAACTGAAAAGTATGAACATGAAAAGTATGAGCATGTACAGCACTCAGTATTTAGTTGGGCCTCCTTTGGCCTGTATTACTGCAGCAATGCGGCGTGGCATGGAGTCGATCAGTCTGTGGCACTGCTCAGGTGTTATGATAGCCCAGGTTGCTCTAATAGTGGCTTTTAGCTCTTCTGAATTGTTGGGTCTGGTGTATTGCATCTTCTTCTTCACAATACCCCATAGATTTTCTATGGGGTTAAGGTCAGGAGAGTTTGCTGGCCAATTAAGAACAGGGATACCATGGTCCTTCAACCAGGTACTGGTAGCTTTGGCACTGTGTGCAGGTGCCAAGTCCTGTTGGAAAATGAAATCTGCATCTCCAAAAAGTTGGTCAGCTGCAGGAAGCATGAAGTGCTCTAAAACTTCCTGGTATGTGGCTGCGTTGACCCTGGACCTCAGAAAACACAATGGACCAACACCAGCAGATGACATGGCACCCCAAACCATCACTGACTGTGGAAACTTTACACTGGACTTCAAGCAACGTGGATGAAGTGCCTCTCTTCTTTTCCTCCAGACTCTGGGACCTTGATTTCCAAAGGAAATGCAAAATTTACTTTCATCAGAGAACATGACTTTGGACCACTCACCAGCAGTCCAGTCCTGTTTCTCTTTAGCCCAGGCAAGACGCTTCTGACGCTGTCTGTGGTTCAAGAGTGGCTTGACACAAGGAATGCGACAGCAGAAACCCATGTCTTTCATACGTCTGTGTGTGGTGGTTCTTGAAGCACTCACTCCAGCTGCAGTCCACTCTTTGTGAATCTCCCCCACATTTTTGAATGGGTTTTGTTTCACAATCCTCTCCAGGGTGCGGTTATCTCTCTTGCTTGTACACTTTTTTCGACCACATCTTTTCCTTCCCTTCGCCTCTCTATTAATGTGCTTGGACACTGAGCTCTGTGAACAGCCAGCCTCTTTAGCGATGACCTTTTGTGTCTTGCCCTCCTTGTGCAAGGTGTCGATGGTCGTCTTTTGGACAACTGTCAAGTCAGCAGTCTTCCCCATGATTGTGTAGCCTATAGAACTAGACTGAGAGACCATTTAAAGGCTTTTGCAGGTGGTTTGAGTTAATTAGCTGATTAGAGTGTGGCACCAGGGGCCATCAATTTTGAACCTTTTCACAATATTCTAATTTTCTGATATGATGAATTTGAGATTTTCATTTGTTGTCATTTGTAATCATCAAAATTAAACAAAATAAACATCTGAAATATATGAGTTTGTATGTAATGTATGAATATAATATACAAGTTTCACTTTTTAAATGGAATTACTGAAATCAATCTACTTTTTCATGATATTCTAATTTTATGACCAGCACCTGTACAGTCATTTTGGTTTGAACCATATGAGCAATAACCCAGGAGGGCATTACAGATGGGGTGCACTAGCACTAGTTACATAAATGTATACTTCACTGTCAGCTCATTCTTAAACAACATTCCTCAACATTTACTCATGCGGAGTCACTGGGATGTCTGCAGCCCCAAAATATGGAGGACTTTTTAGGCGATTTGTATAGAACCACATTCTGTTTGATCCCATTCTATAGCCGATGATCTACATTTCTACAAAACAAACTAAAATGAGTTTGATTCTCAGGAAAATTTAGATAGTTCTACATTTCAATATCCCCCTTTGCTTGAAATACCTTTAGTAAATTATTAGTTGCAACCATCGGCCTAATGAAAGCTTTTCCCACTTATTTTTAGCAGCTTGGTGTTTGACGCTGTTCTTGCATATAGAACCTTTTGTATGCCCTTGCACTTTTTCTCCGTGAGATCAAGATCTGGGCTTTGACTAACATTGAGACCATTTTTGGTGGATTGCTGATATTACATTGAAGGGTCACGTTTGGCTTCAGCTTTAAAATCTAAAAATACAAATATTTAACTAATAAATACATTGTAGAGCCAAAGGTAATATTGCAACATATTTATATGCTTATATCTGACTTTGGAAGGCCTAAAAAAGCATTATAAAGAATTTTGTATTTTTTGTTTTATTACATAATAGAAAATATCCTAAAACAATCACTGTTCCACATCCGTGCACATAGGTACAATGTACAATATATTGTTGAACACAGTGGAGAGGCAGTCTTACTAAAGGCAGAGAAAACTTTACGATAAATTGGATTTCTGCTCAAATGGTATTAGTTTTATTAACATTGCCAAACAACTATGCCTTCTAAAAAGCAAACATCTTCAAAATCCTTTAAATGCCACCCTGGGTTACTGTCCAAAGGAAAAATTGCTACTCCTCATGACAATGCAGTTTAGGCAGTTAGTACATCAAAGATTACTACTTTAATAGTAACAACTCATTCGAACCTATGAAAAAAAAAGCAATTTTAGACTTTAGTTAAGCCCTCAGTTTAGATAGGGGTTAAAATGACACTAAATGACAGCTGCCTCCACAAACTAAACACAGGAAAGAGCTTCATCTCAAAACATGATCTCCATCAATCTGGTCAGCTACAACACAAAAAGACAAACGGAGAAGAAGAGTGCTTCCTCCATCACATGTGAGTTAAGTGGTGCACGTGGTGATTAGCTATGAATGGGGTGCGGTGGTCCGATTGGTGGAGAGAGCTGGGGGTCCGGCGTTCTGCCAGCAGTTCATACAAGGCTGCTGATTGCTATTCATCCACTGATTACAGTAATTTAAGTCTGCAGCAGGCCGAAGGGGGCTGCGTCTGGCAGACAGGCTGCTGAAGCTGAATGTCGTGTGTAGTTTGGTTTGCTTTCAATAAGCAGGGAAAAAGAACACAACATACAAGAAGGGAGAGTATTTAAACAGAAGCACTAAAGTTATAGGCTTAAAGATATAGTTCATTTAATAAACACAAAATCTGCTCCTAAATAAATGTGCAACAACAAATCCGTCTGTGTGAGAAAACTACTGAATGATGCAATCATTTGGTTCCTTTTGTCTTCCTGGGTAATGCTTGGACACACTGAGACCTTGAATAATCAAAGTTGATGAAGCAGTTAGTCACAAATGTTCTTTTTCCAGAAGCGCTTCTGATGATTAATCAGCGACCTGAGCAGCTCTGGCCGCTCCACCCGCAAACACATTACAAGGTTAATCTCTCTATTGATTAGAGCAGCAGAATAAACCAATACTTCACTTATAATCCTCTCCATTTCCACACATGCATGTTATTTTCTGCTTTCTGTGAAGCACAAATGTGAATCTCTGGTTGATGGATGATGCCTATGCTGATACTATCTTCCCACTCTTCCCATTCACTCATATTGAAAAAATAAATCATGCTTAGCATTGCATTAATCTCACATTTATTGCCAAAGATTAAACAGTTTTCCAAAGTTTTTCTTTCTACAGAAAATTATTTTCACAGACAGATTAAAAACAATATAAAGGGCATAAATATACATTCAGACGTCTGCTGGCTGACGTCGCAGATTTACTCCGTAAATCAACAGGAAACAAGAAGTCCATTCGGTTTTGTGGTAGTAATACTGTTTCAGAGCTTCGTCTCAACACACAAACAAAAACATTCATGTATATACAAACACAAAAAAGGTCTGTCCTGGACTGTAAAGAGGTGACACCACTTTGTGGCGTGTTCATGCTTTGTTTTAAGCTTCAGAGGTGACCCAGTTCTCCTTAGCTCCTGCAGAAGGTTTGCTTTGTGCTGAGGCACTGAACTGTACCCAGGAGAACCCAGAAAGCAGCCTGGTGGACATGTGTAGTGAAGCTCATCACACACACACAGACTGCTGTGGTGGGGGCAGAATTTATCTCACGCATTTATTACCTCTTGCTTCATCACAGAAATGTGATTCCTCCATGCGTTTCTGATGCTGCCATTATGCTCCATTATGGGGAGGTGACAGAGATGGAGCAGAGGGCGTTGATGGATTTTGGCGCAGGGGCCTGCTGTCATTACGTTTGTTGAGTGCAGCCTGAGAGACACACCCCGCCACAAAATGGCCGCGGCGCCACAACATGGCTGTACGGAGCAAAAAACAATTACCTTTTTACGAGCGGCAACAAAAAAAAGGTGAAACATTCTTCTGCTGCTTGTGTGTGTTTGGAACAGCTTCAAAAAGCAACATCCTGTTTGAGTAGTGATGTCCCATCACAGCACAGTGTGCATATGTACATAACAGAAGCAAACCTACAGCTGTACATGGATCCATTGGAAAGGGTCTATGAGGACTAAAACAGAGCAAATGTTTTAAAATTATATAAATAAAAGTCATAATAATTAGAACAGTGTTGTTCCATCGGCATCCTTGTGTTTAAAAATTACAAATGAAGACCAGCTTCACGGTGTGTCCTTATCAACTCCCTTTAGAGGTGTCGCTGAAGATGCAACACCAAATCCATCATTGTGGCAAAAATCCTCCTCAGGTCCAAAGTTTAGCCAGTTTCATGGATAAAAGGTGTCAGTGCAGTGCTTCTTAATTAACAGCAGATAAATACAAGTGAATGATGAGGCTTATTAACAAATTGATCTGAATGTTTCCTAAGAGCTTTTACTTATCTTCCTCTCCTCCTCCATTATCATTTCTGTCTCCTAATTTATGTGTGGAAAAAAAGAACACAGGGGTTTTCTGTGTCTAAATAATAGATTGCAAGGTGACATGGTATCAAAGTAGAGGCAAACACTTTGAATCGAACAGAAAAGAGAGGGACAATGTGTCAAAGTTCCTTTAGTTTTAAGTTCAAATACATGCAGTTGACTGATGAATTAATAAATAGAAAAAAAAGACTTTTTTATGTTTCGAAAAATATCTTAACTAGTTGTACCAACATTACTGCACTAGCTGGGTCAATGTTTGCTCAGAATGTAAGCAGAAAACCGCTATATCTTTGTATTCCCTTCAGGGTAAATCCACAACATTGTGTATTCGGAGCAGAAGCTGGCATGAGGTGAGGTGAGGGGGGCTCAGGATAGCCAGAGGTGCTCTGCATCCCCATCTGTTCGCTTGTAGCTGGAGACGATTGCCTTAGAGAAAATACGTCAAAGCCAACTGTCCAGCCGCTCCCTCCATCTCCTCGCTGTTCTGCTTTGCTTTATGTTCAGCAGGTTCTCAGCTGGAAGTAATGAGTCACGTTAGCAGCCTTTTGCTTGCAGCAGTGCAGAAATACAGGAAATGAACATCCGAAGAGAGAATGAAGGAGGAGAGGATGGAGAGAAACAGGATGAGGAGTAGAAAAAAAAAAAAAGAGATGGAAAGAAGAAGCAGAGAATGGAAATTCTCAACTCTGCTCCAGGCAGATAAATACTTCTGTCTGCTCCATCTGTCCTTCTTCCTGCTTGTTGCTCCGAAGGCCTCCAGGAGCTATGAGGAGGTTTGAAGAAGAAATCTTCATCTCTCCTCTGAAATATGTTCCTCTGTCTGTCTGTCAGTCATCCAACAGGCCACTACCCTCTGCCTCCGTTTGGCTTAATTTTGATGATCCATTCTCCTCCAGGATTACTGTTGTAAAGATCTAGGAGATGTGTCTCTGTGTCCAAACAGTGCTCTCCTGTAGAAACACAGAAATTTGCTTAATTACGGTACAAATTTTTGGTTGAATTTACAAATTTCTCAATTAATAGAAAAAAAAAAAACCCCGTTAAATATTCATGTAGTCTGTATTGTTAAAAAAAAACAACAACCTTAAAGCCTTTTTTTATTATTATTATTATTGCTTTCATATGAGTCCAAACAATAAAATTCCACGTTGAAACTTTAGTGATGCAGTAAACTGAAAACCAACGTTTGTCTGCATAGTTCACACCTATTTGCATGCAGAAACATGTCTGTAATAAGCATTTATCTGCTCTGGTAACTGCAGATGCACAGCTAATGTCCCTTTATCTTCTGAACAATTCACCTTGTTACTCTCATCAGCTCAGTGAGCAGAAAGGCATGCAAATATCAGCACTACTTCAATCTGAGAGAAAGACTCACCGATGTTCCCCCCCACTTCATACAGGGCGCAGTCTGGGTATCCCACCGAGCCATTTCTGTGGACAAAAAAATATATATATTTCATTAGAAATAAACCGTTTATAAGGAATATAAGTTCCATTCAAACAGAAAAACAACAATCAGACATGATGGCAAACATGAAAATTATTTATCACCAGATACAAATATCATCCAAATCCTTTTGTAAAGATCTAAACCTAAACAGTATTTCTCACACCTTCTCATTTTGCCTTTTCCATTTTCCGGGCTGCGGAGGAACTGCCGGTAAAACTGGGAAAGCAGGTCAGAGGTTCTGGAGTTGATGCCGAGTTGAAACTCCATCGTGCTGTTAACCAGATCCCCCACCTGTATTTTTATAGTACGACGTGGCTGCAAGAAAATAAAAACATGTTTAAACATCTCCTTATTTCCCCTGGATATAAAACTCTCACACATTAAGGGGTTCTTGTGCTAAGAGAATGATTTAAAACTAAGAGATTTGTGCAGTTAAATAAGCTGACCTCTGAGTTTTTCTCCGGTTTTTCCCTGCTGTCTGGCTGGATCTTTCTCAGCAAGTTCTTGAAGCGTCGATCGTAGAACTGGTAGCGGCGGTTGCTGTTCTCATTGAGCCTACGCACTTGGCTTATAAGGAAGTTAGGGACCTGAGTAGTAGGGAGTTATGACAAAAAAAAGTTTTGATCAACATCTGTACAAATGAACAATGCTGACAACATTGTGAAAGGTTATACATTTCTCTGAGTTCCATAAGGTTTAATTCCAGGCCCTACTTTTTTTTTCTGTTTTTATTCTATGGTGATATCATTTTCTATGGATTCAGATTCCAAAAACTTTATTGGTAGAAAAGGGCAGCAGGGATGCTGCTTCCTTCACATTTCTGTGGTCAGACTGCATGTATCACTGTTCAATACATTTTCAAACAAATGTTAATATCAAGTAACTGCCTGTTATAAGAAAAATGTCAGAACAGGGGGGGAAAAAAAATCTGTGAATTGTTTCTCAGGAAACTAAACTTACTTCCATGTCTTTACAACAAACAGATTAGTGAGAAATCTGAAGCATGTTGAGAAATCTTCTTACATTCTGGACAATATTCTGTTGTAGATTAAAACAAGACAGCCATGGTTGATGTATATAATCGTTCCTACCGTCCAAAGGAGGTCCTGGTAACGAATGAGAAGCCTCATCACATCAGCTGCCTTCTCTGCCTGTCCTTTCTCTCCCCCATCAGTCAGTCGGCTTGGGACAGCCTTATGGAGGAAGAGGTTGGGAGCCATGATGGTGGCTACGGCCCACAGGTTCATCCTGTTCTTCTTCTCTCTGTTAACCACTTTATTGAGGAACTCTAGCAGGGCCTGACAGAAATGCAAATGATCCCATTAGATGCGGCAGCGATAACATTGCAATGAGCTTTCAAGAAGAATTAATTTAATATATAAACTGCTGAAGAACAGGTTTGTTTGGCAGAAGTTATTTCCAACTGCTTGCTATGAAGGTAAAGTGATTAGTGTCAGTACTCTACTTTTTGCTATAAGTTAAACTGACTGCACAGCTGGACGGACGAAAGCTGCTCACGACAGATGCAGCAAGATATACAAGATAGCAGCGATTTAAAATACGAAATGCAAAGGTAAGTTTAGGAGATTTTAAAACATATTTCAACAAATATTTGACTAGTATATTTTAACACAGATTTAATGAAAAAACTTCTTTACTTTGAGATAATGTTTTGAACACTATTCCGTTTTTGTAACATTGTAGCGTTCTTCTTCTCCCAAATCATACCTGCATTACACTAAAATTTATAGTTTATATTCAAAATGGCAACTGTCTATACTTCTCAACACCCATTGAATTGTTTGTGTATATTATTGTTATAGCTTCAATCTAATATAGCAAAGGAAGAATATTAGGTATTTAGTGTCACATTCAAAAACACTTTAAAGTCTCCCAAACAAACGATTGTTTAGTGAAAATAAAACTAAGTGCATAAGAGCTGAGATGTGTCTACCTTTAGTGTGCTCCTGTTTGGCTCAGGGAGCAGCAGAACAAGCAGGTTCAACATGTGCAGTTTCTGCCTCAGCTCTGTGATATCTAGAGAAGAAAAAAAACAAAATAAGAAACTAAGAAAAAAAAGGGTAGACACTCATGCAGACATAGAGACACTGCTCATTTCCTCAGTGTTTGACTAAGAATAATGGGGTGTCCAGAGATTAATGACAATGTGTCTGGTGGCCATTAGGATTGTTAGCTTATGTCTCTGTGGTCACAGATCATTTATCATCTGCACTGATCCTCCTTTCAAACCACACCTCAGCTGCTATCAGTCAGATGAGATTATGTTAATCTGTTTTTTTAATAAAGTCAATCTAATGTGAAAACTACATCCTTGAAGATGCTGTGTATTTTCTTATTTGTGAAGTTGCTGGATGTATTTTAAAGATCTTAGATTATTCATCTTAGGACTGATTTCTAAGCTGAAAAAGAAAAGATAAGGACCTGCCATCTCCAAAAAGGTGATTATGTAAACCTGGACCAGAAGTCAGGAAATGTGGCCATCAGATTACTGTGCGGATCAGTAATGGAAAAATTGCTGCATATTATTTTGTATTATACAGTAACCTCTGAGATGCGATAAAATACGATATCAAATGTTTTTTCTGGCCTTGGTCACAATCTGAAAGCGAAAATAACATGAAATATGCAATTATGTAATAGAACCAGTAAGATCTGCTGATTAAAGTCCACTGACCTCTGACGGCGCTAAAGGTGTTGAGGTATTCTGCAGTAAGCAGCGGATCTGGCAGCTCTCGGATGAACTTCTTCAAGAGCACAGCGGCATCATTTGGACTCACTTCCTCCCAGCTGAAATGCCCTGAGTAGAAGTTGGCCTCCAAGCTTTGTTGCAGCAGCTGCAGATGGTAAATAAGGTTAATACCATGATAACAAAACAGAAGTCTGACCAATATCTTCTTTTAGGGACTATAACATAAAATGTATTTAGGGGTTCCTTGATAGAGATCAACATTTTAAATCCAACAACCAACTGATTTAATTGATGTTTTTAAATGCATCTTATGTTTATCTCATTTTAATTACCTCGCAAAAAGGATATACTTTGTTTTTTGATGTATTTAAAGGTTGAAAAATTGTAGAAGTTCTTAGTTTTGATGTATTTATTGAAAAGGAGGAAACATATTGATTTTATTTAACCTGCTCAACTCTCGTTATTACTGATTGAAAGAAAATGCTCTATTTTAACTGCATCTTTACAATACAATTACCTGCATTAATATGCCTATTAATTTACATGAAATATTTTTTTCTATAAGAAGAATTTTATTGAATCACACAGAAAAAAAGCCTCCTTTTTTAAATAGTTGTAGAAAGGGCAAAAAAATGAAAGACATTGAAAATCTTTATAAGGTAGTATCCATTGTTAACACTGCTCTTTATTGGTAGTAATCTTTTTGAGGGAAAAGAGTAATCTTGGAACACGAACAATGTCAAATGTTGGGAAATTGTATTTATAAAAAAATATATATATATGACTTATTTATTAAATGTGAGCATAGGCTGATTCCAAAAGAGCTATAAATTCTAGCATTGAGATTCTAACATTGTTATCAAGTCCAGTTTAGTATATCAGCCATTACTGCGTTGAGTCTTGTTCAGCGATACAGGGCTATCTGGCGCCCTCTGGTGGCTACTATAATTTACCCGATGCTACAATTCAATTAATGAAGTACATGGTGATAAGAGGCCACCTCGCTGCAGCCTAAAAAAAGAATAATTGATTATGTCTTACTGGACTTTGTTAAATGTCAAATGTTGTTAATCTTAGAAAAGCCAATTGACATTCAAGCAGGTCTGACATTTCAAAGTCAGAAACAATAAATGTTTTGCAGCCATTAAGATCTTAAGACTGTGTTTACTTCATGTGAAAACAGCTATTAGCTGAGACAATGTACCTTTATTCTGGATTGAGATCCTGGAACCCGCAGAATCCCCTCTGAATCGACTCCTTTTTTCTCCAGAAACGACAGCAGCTGCACAAAAAGCATCAACAGAACCTGACATCAGAATATACATCTCCTGCTTATCTCCACAATAAGTAATTCTACAAACACTATGTGGTCAAAACTCCAAGCACAGAGATTACAAGAGTTTTTAGTTTTATCTGGTTCAGTTGTATGCAAATAGGTGCTTCTGATATTTATTTCAACTATTTGAAACGCTGCGCTGTGCATGCAAAGCATGCAGATACATACCGTTTGCAGGAAGAGAGGAATCGAGCTGTTTGGTTTCATCTTCTGGTCAGTTTCCAGCAGTGTGGCAAGCGGTACCCCAAAAAGTTTGCTCTCTGTAACAGATAGGAAAATGAACAATAATTACCTGATATAAACCTGTTTTCTTGAATAACTAAATAAATATTTCCAGAATAAAGGATAAGAAAATTTGTTTCTAAATAAAAACAGAATATTTTAACCGTAAAAGCCTCATTTTAATGAGACTCTCTGATTTAAGACAAATACCTAAAAGGATTTCCATACAGGTGCATCTCAATCAAACAAAGGATTTGATATGGTGCTTTGTGTTACTTTATTGAAAACAGTGGATCAATGACAGCAGACGGCATGATTCCCCATATCAACTGTAAACTGGGCCCATCATCCAAATTTCTGAGCCTCTTCAAAGCTTCTCAAAATGTGGAACAACCTTCCAATCTGGATTGAAAAGTCTACCTCTCTGTCTGATTTTAAATCGCTCCTAAAAACTCATCTCCTTGCCTTGGCTTTCAAAACGGTGTGAGATGTCGATTTTAACCTGCAAATAAATAATTTAAAAATATTTTTATTGTTTTTTATTATAGATTTCATAGATCTTATTTTAACTTTGTTATGTCCTTTATGCTTTTATGTGGTTTTTTTTATGTTTTGTGACTCTGTATAATGTTTTATGTAGCTTCATCGTACAGCACTTTGGTCTTTCGAAAAAGTGCTTTATAAATAAAGTTGGATTGGATTATAAACATTTTAATGCAGCAGAGAGGTTTCACACCTGCAATCTTTCTCTTTCCAGTTTTATGCCTTTTAACCTCCAGCTCTAAGAGGTCGCACAGCGCCGTCATGTCGATGAGGGCCAGCTGGCGAATCTTCTTCATGTCACAGTGGGAGAGGTCTTGAATACGAGTCACTCCAAGGCGGCATTTTGGGCAGATTATCCGCTGCGGACATTGAAGTTGAAAAAGAGGAGCAAAATAAAGATTGAGAAAGAGAAATAAAAAAACAAAGACAGAAAGAGTCATGAAAAAAATGGAAATGGTCCAAGGAGCTAGAAGTTCATTCATATTAAACCGCATCAATTAATCAAAGCCAATAAACCAGCCCTTATTCAGAGGAAATCTGTTTAGCCTAAAAATAGAAAAATATAAATCTGCCAGACTCTGTGACGTAACAACTCTCCCTTTGTTTACCACTAATTCCTTCCGATCTTAACCTCATTATCTAATCCACAGCAGAGGCTGTACTGAAAATGACTTGTAATAACATTTGTTAGATTTACTGAACAATTTCGATCTGTCGTGACTCAAACAGCTTTATGCTGGACCTGTCGGCCTGAGAGATTTCTGTAAATGCCAACAAATAAGTTAAAGAAATAAATAAGATATTCCAATAAATTCTAAAGGTTTAGCTAAACAGACACAATCAGTCATTAGACTGAGCTTATTTATGTGGTTCTGAAATAAATAAGAAAATATTATGTAAAGATAAAGATATCGACTTGGCTACAGTAAAAACTGGATTTAAATTTTGAGATTCTAAAATATTAAAAAGAGGTCTATCATTTGATAATGGTGTTAAACGTATCAAAGGCTTTAGGATAAATACTTCAGCCTCCCCAGATCAGATATGAACTTAAAATGCCTGTTCCTACTGATGAGATTGGGTATTTTTAAATATCAAAACATGAATATTATCCTATATAGTTTTATTTCATTTAAAAAACCACATTTAATAACAAATCTGTTTCTCAAATGACCTAACTGAAAGTTAACTTTGATCTTAAACTAAGCCACTACTTTGGCTGTTACCTTTAAACAGCCCAGTGCTACAAAATGGCATTGCAGACAATTTCTGTTTCAATCACCACTGCCTCTTTGAAATCACTCTCTTAAAAAGAGTTTTAAGTTCAGAGGAATTTGATAGAATAATTGAATAAAAAAAATACATCTAAATGGTTTTTCAAACTATTTTTTTTATCTCAGATTGGCTAAAAGCAATCATATACATGCCAGGGTTTTCGCTTTACACTGCACTCAAAGGTCCTACTGCTTTTCATTTCATCAAAGCAGGTAAATGTTCCCGATTGCAGTGACATTTTAAAGGATCAAAGATAAGGAAAAGAAAAGTAGAAGCAAGCTCACAGGTAGGGTGCCATCTTCCTTTCTGTGTGGGATGTTGTTCAGTGGAAAATTGGCCTGTTTCATGAAGATCACAGCTTGTTCACAGTAAGCAATGTCAGTAATGAGGAATTCCTCCTTAGGAGCGCCCCGTTGATGCTCCGGTGTCACTGCTAAATACACAACATGATGGTTTATCATTTTAGTGAAGGTAGTCTGTGGCAGAGATATCTTTCTAAAAAATCCCCTTTATGCACTTTTGATTCATGAATGAACAAGGAAGGAGAAGAAAAAAAAAAAAAACAACAACATCTAAACCAAAAACAACATAATTTGAATATGGCAAAGGGAATTTTAACATTAGCTCTGATCTCTGAAGTTTCTTTTTATGACATACATACCTGTTGATTTATTTTTAATAATACAAGGACTGTGTAATAATTCAAGTAGTTTTTCATTTTTGCTTATCACAAGCACAAAGAACAGGCTGAGTTTCAGTAGATGGTAAAATGAGCATTTCAGTATGCGCCACAAGGCCTTGAATGCTTTGAAATCATCTGTGCGTGTTTTTTTCCCCTTCAGTAGATCATAACATATAGTTGTTACCTGAAAAAGGCATCTTGGCAACTGATGCCATGCTATTCTGTGGAAGGTCGTTGCTGTTCTGAGACTCGGGCAGCAAAGTCTGGAGGGACAGAGGTTTAATGGTTAGTATAATAATCCTTTATCTTCAGTGAGTTACAGTTATAAATATCAGATCTTTAATCAAATCAATCAGTGTTAGGAAGTGAATGAACACAGGGATACAGGGTGTTTCCTTTGATAAAGCACTGATAATGATCGGAGGAATCTTGTTCCTGTCCCCGCTGTCAAACAGAGCCCCGAGGACAAAGAGTGACCTTTACATGTGATTTTACCTTTCTTTTATAGGTCAATGGTGGTGTGAGAAACAAAACACTGGAGTAAAAAGTTTCTCGTGGATGCCTCACAATCAATTCAAATGTTATTTATTTTAAATCCCAGTTAAAAACTCAGCAAGTTTTCCCAAAGAGCTGTAGAAAAAGGAGATAAATAAAAGAGAGCCAACCTTTAAAAAAATAGAATGCTATTACTCTCATAAAAAAATTAATCATAGATGTTAAGAAGATAATGTCTTTTTACTTTGGGCGAAACCTTACTGAAAAAAATCTGTTTTTACAGAGATTCAAACACAGGAAGAATAGTCAAATGTTTAGAGAAAGTTCTCCAAAGTTTGCAAACCAAAGTGGAAAAAAAGCCTGATCACCTCTAAGTTCCCACTTTGCTTTTAGAACAACTAAAAGCTGTTGGTCGGCTGATCTGATGCCCAGCAAAGGGGAATAAACCTGGACTAAATCAGAGGGGAACAGTGGAGCAAGACCTACAGGCATTTAAAGAACAACTTTAGGATTTGTAAATAGAGTTTTTGATCCATGGGAAGCAGGTCTGTGTGTACCGGTAAATAGACAGGCAGCCACATGTTGAACAAACCTCCATTTTTAAAGTGTTGCTTGACAGCACCGTCATAAAGCAAGTGGCAACAGCCAAGATGACTGGAAATAAAGGTTTGTATTAGTTTCTCCAAGTAACGCCACAACAAATCTGTGTCAAGTTTATCCAATTACATGCAAAAGAGAGCTGATCTGTTTACTAATATAAAATTTAAATTCCTAATTAGCCCATGATCTGTTACGTGCAGTTTTACATATGATTTTACACCACAATAAGCAGGGTTTGTGAGGTTCTATTAGGCCTGAATAAAATAGTCTCAGCTTTGTTTTCATTGAAGCTCAAAAGATTCAAAACGATTCAAGTCTCATCCTCTTCAAGGCAATTTTAGCAGCAGCTGGATGGAGCAATTATGACTAGGAGGCAGTCAGAGGAGATGCTATTTTTCTAAGAATGAAAGCCAATGTAAAAAGAAAAAAATGAAAAGAAAAGGGCAGATGAGCCCTAGGAAGCAAAAAAAGGTACTGGGGTGGATGAGAAATTATACAAACACTAAATGTCTGTCATTCCATAGAAACAAAGCATAACCTCTGCAGCCCCTTTTTCTCAATCCAACATTACTAAATGAGAAATAAGAAATGTCTGTTTCACAGTATAAAGCAGTGCAGTGAAATCTAATAGCAAAACAATTACAGATGCTAACTTATGACAATGTTGCTTCAGTGCTTGAAGAAGTATTTGGCTGAATAAGTTTGAAAGAAATTTGAGTATTGAGACTGATCTGAGGTCCTAGCCAACTGAGAGTACAATATCAGTTTTTTTCTTTTTCTCCATGGATTTAGAATAAAAAAAGGAACAGCACAGGATGTAAGACTGCTATTTATAAGATCAAGGACTGAGGTTCTAATGGCAGGAAAAACCTCGTAAAGACACATTCTGGGTTGGCATCACAGCAGGAAAATCTGAAGGTTTCTGTTGACCAACCTCTTTAAGAAATGTAAATAAAGCAGGTAAAATCATACAAAACAACTAAGCAGGGAGTAATAATGGACCATGTTTCAAGGAAATCTCTTGAAGCGTTTCAGAAATCTGCACAGGATTTCAGGGTAGAAGATTTGGTCATATTTAGAATAGAAATAGGCTTATGACAATATTTCAGTGATAAATTATATTTGTCCGAGTATCCTGACAGACACAGGATTTTCTCTTTTAGTATCATGACTCTAATGGCTTAACTGCAGACTTTTAATCGCAGGCTGGAAATATACAAGGCTTGGAAATCAGTGTATCTATGTTTTAAGATGAAGAACATGAATGAAGTAGAAAGGCACCCCATCTATGCCCTTGGTGCTGTGTGTATCTTTACCTGGGCGATAGGTGAGCTAAAGATGTCCCGAACGTCTCTGGGAGGTGTCTTGTTCTTTTTACGGCGGGATAACGTGTAGGAATCCAGGCGGCGCTGAACAGCTTCTGCTTGCGTCCGGGTTAGAGTGGAGAGCAGAACAGCCTTGTCTACATCCTCGCTGTCCTCGCTGATGAGGGTCGATAAGCCAGCGTCGGCCAGCCACTGTTCCTCCTGTTCTCCCTCTGAGATAAAGACATAGCCGGTATTCAGATGTAAATCCAAAAAAGTACACATAAGGAAAATTAAATATTTGCTTAAGCTGAACATAACATATGAAATTCTGACGGTTATGAAAACCTTAAGAAAAAAAACAAACAACCGCTTTAAAGCATCATGGTTGTTTTGACGATTTATGACAAAAGTTTTATTTTTTCTTGCTTTTTAAAAAAAATAAACAAAAACAATCAACAGTTATTCCTACTACTGTTAAAATAACATAAAATACTGATCACAAACTTCGTAAAGTAGAAAGTACTTTTTGGCTTTATGGTGCAACATCATTAGTTAAATGATTTTATAGGCTAGGAATCGCCCAAAGAAGATATCAATATTTCAAAGGGGTAATGGGGAAACATTGTGATAAAGCAGCAACTGTCACTCGGGTTTATATGTAAATAGAACAACTTTAGCATTTTCTAATCAGTTCACTCTTTGGCAGTTGGGTAAAAATCAATGGTCTGCTGATCCCTTTACAATGATCATTCAATAATACAACATTAAAGCATAAAATAATTCTTCATTCATAATAACTTAGAAAGTTGTCTTGGACCATAAATACAGTCCACAGAGTGTATTTTGATTTAACTATATAGACTTTATTTCACATGCAGGAAGCATGCAGCATTAGTTAAAACAGATTTTTTTAAATGCACTGGTCCAATGATCAGATAATATGAATGCACAAATGAAAATCTGTATTTATTTGGTTGCTTGGCATCTGCTCCACTGCTCCTACATGTCAGTGTCATTGTGATAAAACAAGCATTATGGTAATTTGACATGGAAAAGGTATTATTCATGGACGTTCAAGTAGATCTAAGAAGTAAACAGCATTGCAGTGATCAGAAATAAACACATTTCCTTCTGCTCTTTCTCTCCATGCTCTATTAGACAGTGATTACCTTCTGACTGCCTGGAGTCTCTCCTGGTAGAGTTGAGATCTGTATCGCCACACCCCTGTCGGATGTTCTCAACCTCGCTCCAGAATGATTCCAGGCACAGTTTATCCGGCTGCTGCTGCTCCTGGTCTGGGGAGGGTGGAGAGTGGGTTCTGCGAGAGTCCTCAGCTGCTGCCTGGTCCTGCGGGCTGGCCCAGGGATCCACGCTCATCTCGGTGGGGCTGGAATCTCTGGTGCAGACATACATACACGTAAAGAAGTCACACGCATGCATGCAAACAAATGAGCAGAGACACAAAGGCGCATAAAAAAAACAGAAGAGGAATGATGAAGACAGAAGTGGAAAAGAAAAGATGGATTAGCCTGGAGAGACAAAAGGTATGAGCAGAGAGATGCTGAGAGCGCACACAAAGGGGGGATCTCTATTGTTCTTGCAAAATGTGCTGTGGACAAGTACCGAGAAGATCCACTAGATGTCACTGTAACAACATCAAATCTGCCTTGCTATGGGTCACACCCTTCCATCTACTCACACATTCCCAAAAATAGAAACCTCTAATAATGTCATCTGAAACCTGCAGCTAAAATTGATAAAGATATAACTCATAAATCACCCCACTTTTACTTAAGGTTTGAACAAAAGGAATGCTAAAGAAAAAATTGTTTCTCTCGAAGGAGCACAATTCCCTGCCAACAATGGGGCACACCCCCCCTAAAAGCATGAAAATGTGACCTCCTGATCACAGAGACAGGAAGTGGTCTGCTGATTCACTCAGCTGGTGTCACATTCTTTGATTCAGCAGATCTCAAGCAAACCACAGGTGTGAGTGAATATCAGGAAACATTACAGCAGCTGCTGCTATGAGAAACAGAATAACTGGAATATTTTCCATTGTGGTTTAGGAGGCTCTTTATACATGCCAGGATCAACTGTAAGTCAGCCAAAGCAAGATGCATTTAAGTTGGTAAAACCAGTTTCATCAGAGCAGAGAAGGAGGGACTATGAGACCTAGTTTCACAAGAAATCACCTTTCAATAAACATTTACTGATTATCAAAGAAAGGAATGTTTTAAACATAGAAGTTTACTCAGACTGGCAGACATACTTTTTACATTTTCATCATTGAAATTCTAGTGAAAGAGGAAATTAATCTTATCTATTTTAAGCTGAACTTTCATATCTTCAGGTAAAATTTTAAAGGAATCTTCTCTTTAAAATGTCATCCCTACATCAAGATGACTGAAAGTAGCTGAACCTGAAACCAGGATCAGTTTAGCAGCTTGAGAAACGCCATTGAGATGCAGAGCATTTCAGCCCTGGTTAACTTTCAGTCACTTGGTTGCAGGTGTCGCCTGAAAACATTAGTATAATCCCTTTGCAACTGATTCATTACAGAATTTTCACTTCAGAAAAGCAAAATGTTTTCCCTCAAAATCTATCAGCAACAAACAGAACCCTTATAGAAAAAATGTCTTGTAATCTAAGTTAAACTGAAAAGCAGATCTTGTCATAACTGTGATGATAACATCACACAGTCCAAACTGATCAGATCATTTTAAATTAAAACAGCACCTAAAAACACAAGAACATAAAAAGAAGTTTAGTTTAATAATTTCTAAGGTTGATGCAAACTATAATGCAGTTCTCAAGGACCGGGTTGGTAACAACTACTATGACCCAGCTATTCCATTGAAATTAATATTCAAACAACAAAGGTAGCATAAAAGCAAGCTGATTGAAAAGCAATTTTTAGGTTTATTTCTGCATTTCTTTAAATAAATCTGTTCTATTTGCAGCTTTGTTTTTTCCCCCAAAGGATCAGTTCACAGCTCATACTGACCTCAATAACAGGTACTTTCAGACCATTTTATACATAATTAATGGTATTCTGAAAAAGACAGGACCAATAAATGAGAAAAGAATTCAGTCTCAGGATGATCACCAGAAATAGCAGCCACATTCTTTACACTGAAGCCATCTGCATGCCTAAACTGTTAGACACATTACTTGAAATCCGCATTTAAATTCTTAATTTCAGGGATTCTGTTGTTTATTTTAACTTCATTTATAATTCTCACAGCAGTTTGGTATATTCTGATTCTCCCACGTTAAAGTATAGGAATTTTCTCACAAAATACATAACAATTTGAAACATTATTTTAACAGGACACAAAATTAAGATCATCATAAAAATAAGACCATATTACCATGTGCAAAATTCATACACATAATATTACTAAAAGGAAAGAAAATATAGTTTTATGATTATATTAATCTTAAAGATTCCCATATAATGAAACAACATTTTATCTCCTTCATTTCAAGTCTTCAAGTGTCAAAAATATAAAAAAAAAAATATATATAGTTAGCAGTTACCTACTAACAGAGACTATGTAAACCAGATTAGACAGTATGCATTGTGCAAAATACAGCTGATCTTTATATCCATGCTGCATTCTCCTCTTTTTTTCTGCAAAACTCCAGCGATCATGTTTGGAGCTTTTTCTTAAATTTAAAATACTACAACTAATATTAATGTTATTAAATGTACTCTTTATTTCTATGGAAAACACCTCTCCCTTCACATGACCTACCTGTCTTTTTTCTTTCGGACTGTGGTCTTCACCCGCCTTTTCTCCCATGAGGGGTTATGTCGGGGCCGGAGCCTCAGACGATTTAATTTGATATGTGGAGACTCCATTTTTGGCTCAATTCTGCTCAGCACCACCACTTCCCCTTTGCCTCCCATGTCCACACAGCCAAAACAATCTGGGAATTACAAGCTCGGCACAAAGTCTTGCTGTATCCTGCGTTTTTGGTCAGGCACCACGTGAGAGTGATCTAAATCTTTCAGTGGTTTAGGTTCCTTTGAGCTGACACAGGAAGTAATGCAAGCTGGAATGCAAGAGGTTGAGTAACGAGGTTCTTACTATCAAAACATTCACACCTGTCCCCTCCCCTGTCCCAATAGGAGACACGCCTTCCCTATGAGTCTAACAACCATCAAGTTCCCTCTCTGGTTCAAAGTGGAATCTGTAACCTTTTGCCAACCCATAAACCCTGTGAGTGAAGCAAAACAAAGACAGGCCTTGTTTTAGTCTAACAACCATGAACTATATTGACACCCAGATGAGAGCTGACTAACCTACGCTCGGCTATTAGGATGGATTTTAGTCTTTGTGCATGACGGCTCTTCTTGAGCTCATTCATCAAGGTAACAATGCATAATTTATCTTATCAGGCGTATTCATCAAAAAGATCAAAGATAAAGTTAAGGGAACTATTCAAGCTCATCCAAGACATACACTGGGAAACCTTTAATCCCCCTTAAATATCCAAATACTTAATGGGTGACGGCTAACAATGTGAAGGGTTGAAGAACGCCATACCTTATATGCAGAAAGAAACATTATGTACTACAAAATCTATGATCTCATAGCAAATGTCCTTGTTCAACCTCATACCTGAACCTGAAAAAAACAAAAAACAAACCTGAAAAATGACTCCAAGGCTGCAGAGTGTCCAGGTGATTTATGTGTATAAGTATGAGGCAGATGGAGGTACATTTGGAGCAGGGAAACGTTTCTCAAGTTGCACAAGTGCGACAGGTCTGTCAAGATTTTCCGTGAGAAGACCTCTGTTCCCTGTAACCTCACCAAACCTCTGACTTTTCACTGATTTATTGTTTTTTCCATTCTTCCATAATGCTGTAAACATCACCAGAAGGAGTCAAACAACCGCATAACATTTGAGTAAAATCTAAAAAGCAGGGGAAATTTTCCAGACGCAGAAACCTCAGATAAAAAAACGTCCTTTAGTGATATTACTTAATGATATGCATTTTGAAATTGTGTCTGGATCAGCATTTCTTTGTGAAAATATGATGACATATTATGTATAATATCTTTTATTTCTTGTTTATCTGCCTTCTATAATTGCGCATCTCATGTCTAAAATACTCTTTAGTGAGGCTTTAAACTACTGTCAATAAAAACAATTATATTTTCAAATCATAACAATTTAGAAGTGTTGTACAAATAATAACTTAACAAGGCAAGGTTGTGCGTTTGCATTCTGGGTATATTAATGTCCATACATGGTTTAATACATACAAAATGTTTAAGAAAATCATAAAGCTTTATTTAGTTCTTTGTTTAAGATCTAAATAAAATTCAGTGCAACCAGCTGCCTCGAGAAGTCCCTTTATAACCTAATGAAATAAAATAACCTGTTGTGTTTGATCTCAGCACATCACCCCAAAAAAAACACAAAACGTCTGAGGCTAGGAATGGTGGTGACATGCTGGTTAGACTGTTTTCTTTGTCAGTGACCTATAAGCTAGTCGGAGCCGAAGAAAAGATGAATGGAGTAGAAAATATGGTAAATATGGAATAAAAATAAGAGAGGCTGCAAAACACTACAGACTGGGGTATAGGTTAAGCTTCTGATAGAACAGCAAATCTAAATATACAACCATATTAAGTGGAAGGGCTAAAAATCAAACCAATCTACTTAACCTAAACAAAACTTGCTGTTTACTGAGAAACTCAATTAAATTTGCTAAACACGTAAATCTCTAATTGCAGAGAGAAATGGTTCTGCAAAGTATTGAGTCCAGACATTATAATACATTATACTGTCCAAATTGGCTAGATTTTTTTAAACTATAAAGTAATTTTTCTCCTTCAGAATCATGCACCACTATGTTTTAGTTTGTCACATGTAATCCTAGTGACGAACACTGAGGTATGTGACAGGAAGTATCCTCCTTTATGATATTGCCGCGAAAAAACAGTCTGAAGCCTGCACATAACCTCAATGTTTTCAATCTGTACAGTCTGTTAGGAAACCCTGGTTTTCATATAAATTCCATCTAAAAAGATTTTAAATTCTACTGGAAGAGATTTTAAGCATTAATTTACAACAAAACCGCAACGTTAAAGATATTGTACCATAAATACCAATTTATTGGATTAGAATTAGCCAATTACCCTCCAAAACATACAAGCTGTATATATACCGTATATAGCTCTGAGCTACAAAACACGCACATGTTATATGCTGACTTTAGGAAAGGGACTACTGAAATGTCAGGGTGTTTGGGATTGTTTCTAGTTGAATGGACCTTGGTGTAACCCAAAGAATCAACAGGAAGCCATGCTCTCAGAGAAGAATGGAAACATTAGGCTGCCTATCTTCATACTAAAACCTGTAAGAAACTACTGTACAACAAACAGCTGATTTCAGAGGCTGCAGCAAACAAACTGAAAAAGCAGCTTGTTAAGCAGACTAAGATTCCTGGTTGATTTCCAAACAAAGCCTCTTATTTTCTTAAGAATTTAACATTAAGGACACGAAAACAAGATTAACCAAATATTTCTTCTCAACCCTAGACAGTGCATGTTCAGTCATATTCTGTGTGGACCCAGAAACAAATAGGGACTAACTTTTATGGATCAGAACCTTGGATGAATTATTATATATGCATAAAAAGTTGACTTCAAAAATGTTTTTAAACAATAATACCAGGCTCAACCAAACCAAAGTACTACCCAAGTATATGTGAATCTATATCTGACCATTAAGGAGCAGAACCTGCAGGAAAAAAAATCTGATCCTACCTGGCTTTGGCCCGCCAAAGAGTTTTTCCTGCGAATAGCAGCAGAGCTGCTGAGCCACTTTTCCCCCATGGCATCCTGCCGTCGTCCCCCCAGATTGCTGAGAACTGTAGGAAACAGCAGCTGCCTGCCCCTGGCAAGCTGCTTCCTTGTAATCTCTTCTATGTGCAAACACATAAGAACAAGGACTGTCTGCCTGTGGTAGCGGGCACGTCACTACATCGCATCCTGGAGCAGGAAAGGAGGTCTACAAGAGGTGCTGGAGAACTGGGAGAAGCTGAGTGCCTGACTTGATGATGGGCTGGGACAAACCGAGGGTAATATTGTATCAATGACTGATATGGACAGGGGTGGAGATGGAAACTAAGTAGATAGAACAGAAAGAGCAGCAGTTGCAGCCCTTCCATGACCCTTTCGAGGTTGGAGCTATATGCTTAAGCTGTCATATGAGGACGCACTGTATATCCCGTATATATCCAAACACCTTTTTCTTCCTTTGGCACATTCTTCTTCTTTGACTATTTTAGCTGATATATCGAGTATTTTATCCACTGTGAGATCAATAAAGTCAATCAAGCAATCAATCAATTAACTGAGAGAAATATGTTTGAAAAAAATGTCCTTTAACACACTCAGGGTTCATTAAAGTTGAAAAAACCCTAGAAAAAAAACCATAAAAAATAATTACATTCATATTAATGGGTAAAAAGTTACAAATTACAACATTGACTGTAATAAGCATCATTACTCCTCCTGCTGCCAAGAATATAATGGTTTCTCTATAAATAACATTAGATAAGGGCACTTTGTGAATGTTGTTTATACTATTGAGATTCTGTTGCTCAATAGAATAAACAGAATCATTTTGAACAATTAGTAGTTTAACTATAAGTTCAGGTTGTTCATTTCTATTAGCTGTCTTTCTATAAGCCATTCCTCTGCTTCAAATGGTCTGCCTGGCATGTAGGGTTGTTGGCTTTGGATTGTCAAGTTTCTTCAGCTTAAACTTGCTTCTTAATTTTGATCAACTTTTGCATTTATTTTCAACAGTTATGCCAATTTTTGACATTTGAACAAATGAGTTAACACTTAGCTTCTTATTCAATACCATATTCTTCAACATTTCAGTCATTCTTAAGCTACTAGATTTTTTCCTTTAACCAAATAGGATTCCAGTTTCTCCATATTCATTTCTCCTGCTGTTTCTGCTAATTTATTAAATCTCAGCATGTTTTATTTTGCCAACTTTGGCTAGATTCATCTGTCTTTCAGGACAGGCATTAAGCTTATTCTGTTTCTTACTAATTAAATATTTTTTAGCCATATTTCTTTTGGTGAGTTCAGCTTGCTTCTGCTACTTTTCAGGAAAATAAATGAAGTGTTTCTGTTTTCTGCTATTTCTGCTGGCACAGAAGCACATCTAGGAGTACAGGATTTCTTAAGCATAAAATATGAAGGTTTGCTCAGTTGATCGTTTATGAAACCCCATCATACTTTCAGATATAATCTGATGACAAAGAAAAAAAAAGCAGCATTTTAAATGCAAAGTTTTCCCAACTTTATTTTATCTGCAGTGAACTGCAGTGGGTGGTAGAGGGTGAAAAGTCCAGCAGGTGCAACTCTTTGCTCGATGCAGTAGGGAAACCACTGGTCAATCTAACCTTTAATTTACATAATTTAAAATCCAGGGTGCAAAATTTGTGCAAATATCAACACGTCTGACAGTCTGTTAATAATAAAAGAAATCAGGAAGGACTGATTGACCTTTGTCATCTAGGTACTTTCCCTGTAACCAGATCAACACAGATTATAGGAACCACATCGATGCCTCTTGGAGAGATTCCATGCTAACTAACTATTCACTTAATCCAAGGCCCAATTCCAATTACTCCCTTTGACCACATGTCTGATCTGATATGGATTCTGATTAAAACCACTTTTTTTTAACAGTATATCTTTTCTCCTCTTGTTTAAGTAGTCTTGGCTACAGTTAGAAAATGCCTTATTTATTTCTGAACCTTTCAATGCTGTACCTCCATTTGGAAGTAAAGTCAATTCCTTACAGGACCAAATGCCAGATTAAGCCATTTTCTCCCCTTTCTTAAAATATCAAAACATTTCTGTTGCCTTTTTTTATTTGATTTTCTCTGACTGTCATTCCTGCCCTGACAGGACCCCTCTGCCCAGATCTGACAATCCTTCTTAACTCACAAAGGTGTTAAGAGGGAAAGGAGAGAGCAGAACGTGAGGGCACGTTCTTCCTGACCCTGCAGATG